GGGGGTGGGCTGGGGGGCATCGGGTGGGTGGCTCTGTGCCGTGCCAGGTGCAGGGTCTGCTAGCTGGGTGCTGGCAGGCTTGCACCTGGCACGGGCACCGTAGCCAGCCCGTGCCCCTTTAAGGGGGCCGGGGCCGGGAGGGGGGCATAGAGTTTCCCTGGTGTTGGCCAGAGTGGCCACCAGGGAAACCTGGGGAGGGCTAGCCTCCCACTAGTTCGAATTAAGGGGCTACACACCCCTTAATTCGAACTAGCTAGTTCGAACTAGGCTTAATCCTCGTGGAATGAGGATTACCTAGTTCGAACTAAGCGCTCCATTAGTTCGAATTAAATTCGAACTAACGGAGCGCTAGTGTAGTGCCTATGAAAGTTAGTTCGAACTAAGTTTGTAGTGTAGACATACCCTTTGTTACCTGGGAACTACTATTAACAAGAATTTGTCATTGGATGAGGAGTTGGACATATATATTGGGAAGATAGCCATCAACTTTGGTTGCCTCACCAAGATGGAAAACTTCCTAAGACATCTTATATGATGAGTTAAAGCATGAACAAAGACAGAGAGGATACCCAAAACTTAGGTTTCAAGATGGCTGCAAGAGAGATCTAAAATGTTTGCAATTGAGCCACAGACTTGGGAAGCCCATGCGAAAGATTTGTACAAGTTTGTGATCCAGTCTGAAGACAGGCATCATGGAACATGATAAACAGCAACTCTTTACAAACAAAACAAAAAACAGAGAAAAACGAGCGACTAGCCATGGACAACAGGAAAACCCTTTTCATTGCACTCAAATAAATAAAATCTGTTTGTCCAGAATTGGCTTGGTTATCAAAAAAACTGCAACACCCAACTGCTACCTCACATCCACAAGAGCCGAAGGTCTGTAAAGATGAATATTATGCACCAGGGTAAAGTCTGCTAGCTAACCTTGACACAGAGAGAACATACTTAAATAATGCCTCTTTGCAATACGACCTGCAAATAACTTTCTGGGCAGAGGAAAAGGGTTCATAGGTTGGCCTGTAAAGAGGAGCTGCGGTTTGCTCCTGGATGGAATAATCAGGGGCAGATGACCGTTTTGCGGGGCCTCGGGCAGCATAATTCCACATGGCCCCCCCTTTGCCACGGCGCATGCGCAGTGGCGCCACGGCGCATGCACGGGGCTTTCTGAAGCACGGGGCCAGGGGCGGCTGCCCCGTTCGCCCTGCCCTATATCCACCCCTGGGAATAATCATAGAGGCTATGTCTACACTACGAATTTTTGCAGCAGAAAATATGCTAATAAGGGACTC